TTGGAACCAATCCTCATTACAAGCTAAGCACCAGGCAGTCTGGCTTTAACTGACACTTTCTGCATGTATTTAATTTATGCATAATAGAGTTAGTTGAACTGCACATTTTAAACATATTTCTACCCTCAACTTTTAGCTTCTTCAAGAGCAGTCAAATCAGCTTTGGGTGAAAGGCAAAGCTACATGGTAGGACTGGTTCTCATGATTATTTTGAGAGTATCATAAAAAAAAAAAAAAAAGAAAGAAAGAAAAAAGAAAAAAAAAAGTTATTTGGATTTTTTAGTGAGTGGGTTAACCCTGTTCCTTCTCCCACATTTTCTCCAAATTATTTTTCTATTTGTCCTTGAATCCCAGCTTGACATCAATGGGTGTTTCACTACTTGTGGTCATCTGACCTCTGCACTCCATCTTCAGCTGGTACTTGATGAGTTTGCTATATGAGAAAGACATTAAAGATGCTGTTCTCAAATGTACAAAGTTTGGTTCATTTATTCTATGTCCCTCCATTGACCTACACAATCCAACTCAGATCTATACCCATACCCTAAGGAGGCACTAGGAAAAGGTGCCAGATTAGATCTGATGAGACAACTTTGTCACTGTCAAATTTTCTCTAATAAAACTTCTCCATAAAAGAATCCATTATCAACTACCAATTTCAGTACTGATTTCAGTACTTAAGTACTTCTTCCTATGTAAATAGTGAGAACTTTTTTCACCAACCTTTTGAAATCGAGGATGTTAAACCTTAAACTACAAGAAGCCCACGTCCAAAAAGGAGGATTGTGACTGAAATGTCTAAAGAAGAAGCTCAAATGAAGTAGAATTCATATGGGAAATGAATACCTGAAATGGTTGCATTCCTAAGAAGCCATCAATGCTCAATCTCCTTACACTTTTCCTGAATGTTTTTTAAGGTCTCAATTACAAACCACTGCAATCAAGACAGTTTGTACGAGGCCCTTAATGTGACGATTACTACATTCAAAAAAAATGGACATCCACCAAAAATAACATAGCTTTACCTCCAGCACCATCTCCTCTTCTGAAATATAGGGCTCTGCTTTACTTTTCGTGAGAGTGTGCTCTTTTTCATCACAGTTGAAGCTTTCCAGAAGTCTCTGGGAATCATCCTTCTGAAATTCAGAGAGAAAACAGGTAAAATGTAACTCTGAGATCATACAGATTCACCTGGAAGATCTCTGACAGCAGCCTGGATACTCTCATGTCTCCATTCTGAAAATGATTTCAGTATCAGTTGAAAATGATAATTTTGGAAAAATACAAACTGAAAATGAATGAAAAAAAAAAGAGTTTTATATACTCAAGAATCATTTTTTTTTCTAAATTACTGAACATTATGAATTTGATTTGTCAGTCCGGAAGTAGAACTTTAACCCCCAGATTTGTAGAAGGCTGTGAATGTGTCAAATCAATCCACCTGCTCTCAAAATGTCTTATTCCTATCAAGCTCACAGTCTTGGTTCAAACTCCTTACTTAAAGCTAGTTAAGTAAAATTATCTGTAATTGTTTGCAACAAGGAGAATGCTCAATATTTTTGCTCACCTGCCACGAGAAAAACTTCTTAAGTGAAGTTTTTTTGTGTGGGAAAGTTCCTGTCAAGAAAAACTAAACTAGGATACAAAACGTTTACAATTTTCCTTCCCCAAAAGTGGCACACATCACTGGTCCTTACTTCCCTAACAAATACACACAGCCTCTGGTACAGACACAAGCTATGAGGGCACAGAGTGCTGCACACACGCTTCTCTGTGCACTAGCATAGACCAAAAAATGACAACACCAGTCAATGCATCCAAACGCAGCACTGCAGGGAATCTTGTAGTGAAGGAAAAGATCTTGAGGAGAAGAGCAGCCACCCTACCCTGATGACTTTTTTTCTTTTACTTCTCTGGTTTTCGTTCAACTAACTGCTTACTGACGTAGTCTAATAATATGGTTGCAGCCACTATGCACGTAACTGTCTTATAGAAAAATCCTCCTTGAATTGTTTAGTCACTTGGTATGTAAAGTAGTCCATTTTCCTGAGATAATTGCCTAGCCTTGGAATAGATTTCATTTCCTGTGACTTGCCTCTGTCACCTCTCTGGAACATAGGTGCTCAATAATACAGGTCATGTTCTTGTGTTAAGTCTCCAAGACATGCTGAATTTAAGATGTTGTTTTCTAAAAATCAACTAATGACAAAAGAACAGCTAAAAATCTACTTTATTAATTTTATCATTTATTTGTCCTGAACCAAAGTTCACAAAATGTAGGTTGAGTGACTGACAGCTGTAGAATTAGCCACATTGTATTCACCATTGTTCATCACATCATAGCCATTCAGAATTTGCTTTTCTCATCTTTGCATTTTTGTATTGCATTTTCTTTTTTCCAGGATACATTTTGTGGTTTTGTTTGTTTGTTTGGTTGGTTGGTTGTTTGGGTTTTTTTGCTATCATTTCTAAGCTCATGCCTTTCCTCACTGTTTTCGTCCTTGTTGTTTTTGCAACTCCTCCTGAATAATATCTACAAATGAAACTGAAGTGCTACCAAGCTCCCCTTTTAGATCATTAAGAAGTTTAATAAAACTGAGTCTAACTGTAATTACTGTAATACTTCTTCAAGCTAATCTAATATCATAATGAGACAAGCTCCAACCCAAAGGGTCACAAGAGCCTCTAGGCAATGCCATTAAGTCTAACAGGAGAGTTTTATTGATAGAAATGCATTACAGTGCACTGTAATGTCTGAAGTTACCATGGTAAACCTTTCTTAAAACTTTCCCAGTATGCACAGATCCTCACACCAATAAGGCACTTAACTGTATGCATTCAAGTCCCACAAATTCAGGCTGAATATATAGAATCAATTAACTGGGGCTGAGTGACAAATGCCGGTGGCTTATTGCAGTGCCTACAGATGCTCTATACTCCAAGTACTTGCCCTGCTCCCACTGCACGTATAACTCAGATGCTTGGGAAGCAACACGGTAAAACAGGTAAAATATCCCTGCTTTTATTCTGGATACAGAAGGCTATAACAGAGTAACTACTATATTATACTTATAACAACATAGTATTTATGATATAGTAAGCATGTTACTATATTATAGTAGCAACTATATAGTAACTTTGATACAGTAAGAATAATAGTTCAGAACTGCTACACATGCAGTAGGCTGCTCCACAGAATAGGTGGGCCAGACAGTATGTGAAAGGAATGGGTACAGCTTAATGTCACCCTGTTTGCATTTGGGAAATTAGTCCCCTAGGATACAATCTGACCACCCTGCAATGTGTTCTGTATGTAGCAGCAGGCAGTTTATTTTTCTTTTGAAATAAACAACTCTTTTACAGCAGCAGCATTGATTTTAATGGCATTTAAGCACCTAAACGCATCTAAAGATCTGGGCCAGAGAGAACTGACAGCCTCTATTCCCTATTGACATAAGTGACATAAAGGATAAAATTGTACTTGGCTATATTTGAGTTAGTAGTGACAGTACAATAAAGATACCATCTATTAAGGCAGGGAAAATGAGCAATTGAATCAGAGAGGCTTGCACTCGCATAGGATGCATTGATCCAGCATTTGAAGTGAATCCATTATTAGGCTAAAGCATGGCTTCAAACAGAGTTTCAAACTTCCCACTTAAAAGCAGTTGGGAGCAAGAGGATTTTTCTCTTCTGTCATACTCAGTGATGATCAACCCTAGCAGCCATACATGTGCAGAAGACCAGTTACAGCTGAAGAAAGGTTCAGTTAAAACCAAGCTGAACCAGACACCCCGTTGAACACTGACAATGCTTTGCAGGGCTCTGAATTTCCCAGCTGTGCCAACCACTGCTGCACCCAAGTAACCCAACATGACCTGAGACCAAGTGTGATCCACAAAGGCAGTGGAAGTTGGTAACAATTCGCAAAAAATGTACCTGCCAGGTAGTGATTCTGCAGGTATGGGCTACCTCTGTTATTTTGTTGTCAAAACAAACGCTTTGTGTAATGATGAGGTATGAGCCTTACACCCCTGTCCTTAAAACAGCGAGCCAGGTATGTCATTAACAAAATCACATGCTTTAGAAAACCCTGATACTTTTGCATCGAGCAGACTGTCAAATATATTCTGCCTCCTGTGCGTCTCACATCTACGAGTGTAACCACAGTGAAAATTTATTGCTGTGGGTGAGTATTCATCCTCTCTGCTTGTGCTGTTCATTTTCCTGCTCTGGAAATCGAGTTGTTCCTCCTGCTGCAGAATGGAAACAAACAAGTGTTCATTTTCAAGTATCTCAGGAAGTTTCTGCAGACGGGGTTCATCTTCCACTGTCCCCAAAAAGCTGCACAGCCTTCTAGACGAAGTGACGGCTGTGAGAGACAACTAGTGGGTCAGCTGAAGGTATTTTCAGGGATAAAGGCCAGGAGGGCATTATTCAGAACACATACATATGCCAAAAGCAGTGTGTTTTTTTTTGTTGTTTTGTTTTTTTTTACATACCAAAAGCAGTGTTGTTGTGTTTTGTTTCGAGTCAACCCGTTTACTTTGGGGACGTTTTTAATAGAGTAAGCAGTAAAACCACTTTAAAGAGGGGTGTCGCGAGTTACCCCACCCGCCCACAGCCGATCCGGAGTTAATCCGACGCCAATCCGATGCCGGACCGGGGCCCAGCGATGCTTCCCTCGTCGGGCCGGGCCAGCAGCACTGCGGGGCCCTTCCCAAAGTCTCTTGAAGTCCTTCCCCCTGTTGCTCCCGAGCTCCTCGGGTGCCCCCTTTCCCCGCCCGGCCTCCCCGTACCTCTCTCCGCCGGCGCGGCCCCATGGCGCAGCGGCAGAGCAGGGCGGCGGCGGCGGCGCCCAGCAGCAGCCCCAGCAGCACGGCGGGGGCCAGCAGGGCGGGCAGCACCCGCAGCGAGCCGGCCCAGAACTGCAGCCCCACCGCCCGCAAGCACTCCCCGACCCCCGCCATCGAGCCCCGGCTCGGCTCGGCCGGAGGGGAGGGAGAGAAAAGGGAGGTCCCCCCGCCCGTTCCCCCCGCCTATCGTGGGAGGAGACCGATGGCGGATGGCTGCGGCCCGGCCTGGCTGGGGGCAGCGGCGAGGGGGGCTCCGCGGAGCCTCTGTGCCCTCGCGGGGGGCTCGGCGGCTGCTGGCCGCCCTCCTCATGGCGCTGCTCCCCGCTCGGCCCCTCGGAGCGGCCGCCCGGCGCCCCCCGGCCGGCCCGCCCCGGGAGCCCTGCGGGAGGACGGCGGCTGGGGTAAGGCGGGGGCGCCGCGGGATGGAGCCCTTCCTCAGGGGGCTGGGGAAGGAGCCTCGGCGGAGGGCTCCGGGGCCCTGGGGGCTGAGGGGTACCCCGGAGTGGTGGCCCCAGGTGGTTTGGCAGCCCGGGGTGCAGCCGTCGTCGCAGGCTGGTCCCATCTCTTTCGCCCCAGGAGGGCCCTGCGGTGCGAGAAGTTGTGGCTAAGACTTGCCCTCCTGAGGCAAAGGGAGCTAGTTTCCCTTGGAAGGCTCCCGGGTCCAACGTGGGGTGCTCCAGCAGGCATCCTCTGCAGCCAAAGCCATGCCAGGCACCCTTCTGTGGCCCTGCAGGCACCACAGACCGTGTGGTGGTGTTGACAATGGGAAAGCTTCCCATGAATGAGCATGATGGGGCCACTGCAAAACCCTACGTGCTGACACTGTTTCTCTCTTCTTCCTGAGTGGATACATTTGATTTTGTTACCAAACAACAGCACTCTGGCTCACTGGTGGCAGCCTGCTATTCGGGATGCCATCAGTGGTTTAAGATACTGCTCTTATTTTTATTTCTCTCTCCAGTTATCTATCTAGCAGTCTGTGCCAGCACAGTTTTCTTTTGACCATGTGAAGAGTACCAGAGAACGTGGATGCAGGGAGTTACAAACTCCCTTACTTTGTGCTTTGATTACAAAACACACTGATCAGCAGGAAATAGTAATGTTTTTTTTGTTTTTGTTTTTGTTTTTTTTTTTCCAAAACCTTGCTTTTCCGCCAGAAAAATAAAGCAATGTAAAACTTGGGAAGATGTGTGCTGGCAATTTTACTGCATTAAATTAATTACTTTTGATGCTTAATGTCACTGCTGGCCTGTAGGGTTGGCACTGGGCTCCCTGTTGGCTGATGTGAAGCTCCTCATGATGCCCTCTGGTATTATGGATGCACTCTACAATAGACTGGAAGAAATATGTCAAATATTCGGTACAGAGTAGTGAGGACAGGATGTCAGATAAGGCAGAAGAAAAAGCGAGGAGTGCTGTAGTGTCATTCATAGTTGATGCAAATGGCTATACAAACACCATAGTGGTTTTTTTTGTGTGTGTGAGCTGTTGTAAAACCACAGATGAATGAATGCCTGGTGTCTCTGGAAATCCTGAGTCATTTGTACATAAATTTCATAGGAAGCAGGATTAGCCAGCAAGCCACATTTTATACACGTCTTTATACATTCTTGAACCAGTATTCGTCTATTTCTGTTAACAGGCTTGTTTATGAAGAGACTGTTGGCATTTAATGCCCATGTCATGTAATGCAGAAGAGTCATATTTAGTATTTATGTTCATGAACAAAATTTATGCTAATACTTAACGTAATAGGCTGTCCTACCGTGTTTTCATCAGTGTTTTACACTAGTGTAAATCCACCCATTTTCTGTACTGGCACACATTACCTCTAAGAGTGCTCTAGAAATATCTATCCCTTCTAATGAGATTTCTATTGCTGTATATCCATATGTATATATGACAAATATGTGAGTATATACATATATATATATATCGTCACCAGACAATTTTAAGTTTTCTAATGGAGTTTCCTGGTTTTTGCGAACTTGGGATGACTGGCTAGTCAAAACTCAGATTCATATTGATCATTTAACTAATGAGAGTAAATTAGTAATGGAACTAAAGATCGCTGGCATAATTTAGTTTGTATCCAGTAACTTTGTTACACAGGAAGAATGGTACAACTGGATATGTGAGAGATGCAAATAGCGCCCTGTGCCTCCCTGAGCTGCATCCCAGGGCTTCGCAGAGTTCTGTCTTTTCTTCCTCCTCCACAAGAGCTGCCTCCCAGCTAGCTATTAGCACATGTTTTCTACTTAAAACCCAGGGCTCCTGGTGCATCAAAATTTATGAAACGTCTTGCATTTTCTGTTATGTTGATGGAACGTGTCCTATCTGAAGTGAGAACTGCTTCTACACAAGGTTAACTAAAGTTACAGCTCTAGCAATAATCAAAATGATGAATTCCTCAAGCAGGTGAAGAATAAAATTGCCCATAACTCGCTCTACTATAACAGTAGTGTTGACATGAGTCAGAACTAACATTACTCACACGCACTCAGCGGACGTAGAAGATAGCTGTTAATCAGCTGGTATTCGTAACTGTGTCTTTTCTCCCACCGGGAAACATTTTTATTAAATGAGAACTTGCTTGTGTGACTACTACATCCTTATCAAAACACTGGGCATTAAAATCATTGAAGGCACCAGTTTCTTTTACTGAAGTTTTAGAGCTGTGATTTCTGTAACAATCTTTATGGTTTGGGCACAGCCAGGAGTCTCATAAGCTACAGTTTTTAGCCTGTGGGCTCTTTGAATGGATCTGTGTAGACTTACTCATCCAATATGGACAAATTCCTGCTGACTCCTAGTGATGAGATTTTCCTGGGTCCTCAGTTCTGCATTTGGAAATGACAAGAAGAATTATTTTATAAGAATAAACAAATACTTCATAGCAAACACATCTGCTCCACTGTTGCACAAAGTCTCAGCCTGGTAATATCGAGTGTAAATACAGTCTGAGCCCCAAGTGTGCGTACCCATGCTAGGAGGCAGCAGTGCCTCATACTGCTTGACAAACTGCCTCTAGACCAGTGTTGTATTTCTTCTAGTAGTTAATTTGGGGAAACTCATGGCTTTGTGGAACAGGATTCTGTCTAATTGTAAAGCATAAATTCAGCTTAAAAAATTAATTAAGCAATATTTATGAAAACAATTTTTTTTTTTTTTTTATAATTGCTCTCTTCTCTGTTAACTCTAGGTTATTATAGATGATCTGTGGCTACAAAATGAGACTGAATGCGTGGCAATGGCAGGTATGCAATTGTTTTCTCTCTCTTTTCAGCCTGTGGGGCTCATCTCTACAGGGCGATGGGTGTGCAGGTGGGCAGGGGACTGAAGCCAATCCCAGGTTTTGCCTGCACTCTGAGTTTGGAGGAAGGAAAGGGAGAAGAAGCAGTCTGGTTCTGGAGGCATCCCATCAAAATTAGTACCTGAGATCTTGTTCCAGTGTTCAAGTTCAAATAATAAGTTCAAATACTGTTTACAGTAGGTATCAAGTGTAGTAGTTACTGATCTCAAATACACAGCGCATCTTCAGCAGTTTTTGCCTAATCTGATTAAAATAGGGTGGCCCTATACTTAGAGGAGTCCCATCTTAGAAGATCTGCATCAGAGGGCTGACTGCCAGACTTTGTCTACATTTGAACAAATCACATAGTTTCTCGGAGACTCTGGTCTTCATGTTCTTTACATGGAGATAATAAACAGCGTTCTACTTCATTGAAGTGTGGTAGAGATGAGTACACTGAAAGGTTATGACATTCTCATATAGCATATTAAGAGGGGCAATGTAATGTCTGTAATATACCCTTCCCCCATGGCACAGGATGCCGTTCCCCAGGAGATGATTCCATAACATGCATTTGCCAAGAAATTACACGCTCTGAAGCAGTCATCCAGTGAGATGCCTCTAATTTCTTTGCCCTATGCCATGGCTAATTCAGAAATGAGTTTATTAATTTAAATATGAAAGCAAATAATTCAGATTTGCTTAGCTTCCTTGTTGTTTCTTTTTCTCCTGTATTTATACAACATAATGTTTGCTGCTCACATCTTCCTTTCTGATGGGTTGCAAATTAATAAGGTACTATCCACGGAGAAAGGAAATGCATGTGGTTTTATACTTCAGGAGAACCTAATGGTGTTAGTCAAAGTGGCGCAATTGAAGGATTTTGAGAGTATATTTTTGTGTTAGTGATTAATTATTTTTCCATTTTGTTAGTAGGTAAATATTCATGTTAAATGAAGAACTGCTACAAATACTGAATTGTATGCTGGTTTTATGACTGAGAATTGTCCCACTCTTCTAAGCAAGTTCCTAGTGGCTTGCTTAATCAAGATACTTGAATGTTTATTCCTACTGAAGAAGTTCTCAGTGAAAGAAAAACTGCATAAAACATTTGTCATTGAAAATGACAGTGTATTGAATTGAGATTATTTGTGACAGCACACCAATCTTATAGTTTCTGCTGGAAGTTTTTTCAAGTTGTTTTTGGATAAAATGAAAAAAAGCAGTTCCAGAATAGCCCTGTGATTGGGGAATATAGTGGACTTTTAGAATTATGTTCTAGTCTGGCCTGACTTATCAAAACAAGGCATGAAAAGTAGAAAATTTTTTTGTGTCATTTATGCCCATAGTTTCTTTGACTTTGTAACAAGGAAAGCTAATAGCTGCATTCAAAACTGGAATACAGTAAATTACTACCTTTGCTTGTTCATTGTTGCGTGTAATTGAATGGTCTTTAAATTGGATCTTGTATCCTGGTTGGTTTTCAGGACAAGGCATAATTCAGAACAACAACAAAAAAACATAGTAAACAAGTATATTCAACTCTTCTTCCACCCTGGAATGAAGCAAGATAATTCAAAGCTTTACTGATAAATTCTGGGGAAAAGCAAATCAGACTGCAAATTTGGGACTTGAAATATGCAACCTGTGAGAGCTAACAATTAGCATGTTTTGTTAAATTGCTTTTTTCCTCCTAGAGTCAATTAATTTTTAATAGTTGACATTTCACAAACTTGTCGCAGTCTTCACTTTTCTATTTTGTATTAACAGGTTAGGAGATACTGTAAAGGTATGGATTAAGGACCTACTATGGGTTAAGAACCTACTGGAGTCTTTGCTGGAAACCTATTACAAGACCATTTAATTTTGTATCATCCTACTTAATTGCTGCGCCTAATAATAATCTTAACTGCTATCAAGAACAAATAAGGCACTATAGTTCTTGCGTGTTATACCTACCCTTTTAATAGTGGTCTACAGGTATTAATCAGCACCACTAACATGTTCAGGATGCAGCCTTTTTAGTCCAGTATGTAAGGCTGAACCTAACACTGAAGGTCCTTGTCATTACTCAAAACTAACATCTTAGCAAGGGACTGATCACAGAGGACAGTTCCGTTCCTTGCATACCTATTCTTCCATCTCCAGCCAATATGAACACAGACCTACCATCACCACAGGCTTCACACGGTAGGTGCATTTTGTACTACATTGGATCCTCTTGGTAATTTGCAGCAAGCAAAAGCAATGAGAGGTGGTTGTAGGAGACTTCTCCTCACTAAGTGTGTTGTGTCTGGCTTGACTGTGGCTGCTAGAAGCCCAAAACAACAGATCACCACACAAAGCAAAGGAGTTGGAAAATGACTGCCCTGGGGATAGCACCAAAGAAAGTTGAGCAGCACTCAATGGTTATTCTGATCTGGTTTTGCATTGAGAGTGTGCTGATCAATTGTGCACTTGTTGTTTTCCATTGTTGTGGCACTGTGTATATGTGGGACTGAGTGAATGTTATAGGAAAAACTTGGTGTGGTAAAATATTATGACAATCTTCCAGTTGTTTCAGCTACATTAATATTTAATTTCATATTTTCTTTTGGTAATTCAATACAAAGTCAACCTACCAGTGCTGGTAATTATCTAGGAATATGCAATTTAAGACAGGTTTCTGGTATGTCTGTTTCTGTTTGGTTTATGTAGGATTAAATAATGAGAAAATATTTTAATAACATGCTGATGAAAGGAAGATAAAATATTTAACAACTTGATCGTAGACTGTAAATGTGTGGAATGTTTAATTTATGTCATTAAGGAAAACAAAGAAAATTTCATCTTGGAGACAGTTATATTTTCTCACATCTCAAAAAAAGTGAAATTATTGCTTTTCTTTGATGAACTGTTTGATTTGACATCTTTGGGGATGTTTACAGAAAAGCCCCTGATGAAGCCTCATGCCTTGCTGCTTTGCTCGCTGGGAAATGTTTTGGCCTGAGGTGCTGTGCCTGGGGTGCTCCCAGCAGCAGTCTGGCAATCTGGGCTGAGATTTGGGCAGTGCAGCTGAAACTGTTCCTCTGCTTAGCAAAGTTTCTGTTTCGAAAAGGAATGGGAATGGCTTCCATCTAGGAACTAATGGAAGTAAAGACTGTGCAGCTCAAATAATACCTTTTTTTTTTTTTTTTTTGAAAACAGCCAGAAAAGTGGCAAAGGTTGAAACTATAAGAAAAGAGAGTGGAAAGAATAAAGAGATTGCAGAGCCAGTGTAAGGATTGGGATGCACCTCTGAAGAGGCACTGACAGTGCTGTGTTCTCATTTCTGAACAGCAGGGTATCAAAAAGAAAGCTCAATGCTTGTTAGTGAAAAGCCTCAGGAGTCAAGCATTAGTATTTTGTATTTTCCAACCTCAGACAAATCAGACCTCAGACAAGTAGATTACTTGTTACAAGAACATTTTCAGAACAGAAATCTGGGATAAACTTGAAAACCACAGAATGTGAAATCTAATTGTAACATCCTTTCTCAGATGTGCAGTGTCTGACTTTTCAAGCAATGATCAGCTATCTATAATCCATCTAGACCTTGTCTGAAAAGAGACAAGTCTGAAATTCACCTATCAAGGTTAATTGATAACTGCAATTATGTCATCTTGAGGTTATGAGTATTCAGTGAATTATGTGGAAAAGCAGTTATGTTCTTGTAGGTCAGCTGGACTGAGGTGTGTGTAGTGTTCTAGTGACAGATAAATATTTGTGGATCAGGAAAAGAGTTTTTTATTTTGTTTTGTTTTTGTTTTTTAGCTAACATTTGATACTACAAAAAATAATGAGTTAGAATAGTGCTGCTTTACTGGCAAGAGAGACAAGGGTATTAGCAAACAGCCTGTGCTGTTAAAAATAAATATAAAGGATGAGAAAAAAACTGGAGCAAGGCAGTGGCATGTGTTGCGCTATGGACGTACCTCATCCTGATTGTATCTTCTTGAGCAAAGCCTAAATGCTGGGAAGGCGCAAGTGAATTTGCAGAAGTATCCTTGTAATCATCATCACCACTGAGGCTGCTTAGCATAATGTCAAGAACCTGCAAAATCCCCAACCTCTCATTACCAATGATGGAGCAGCCAAGTAATGTGCCTGGAGGATTACTCTGGGAGCTAGCCACATTATTGCAGGATTGTAAGTGATGACAAAGCACAACTTGAAAACAGTCTTCCTGTATAATTAATAATCATGAGATTTATTCAGAAGCAAAGAACACGATCAGTTAATCAAATTGGTTACTTTGGACTTGGTACTTTCCAGGTGGGAATATCAGGATTTGCTGTCACATGGAAAGCGCAGTTGGGAGTAATGATGGAGAGATCTCTTGCTACGTAGGGCACGAGAACAAAAGATATTTCATGAAACAAATACCCCCCCTTCTCTATTTCCTATGAGGGAGGTTAATCAACAAGAAGGAAGTGATCTGCTAAGCAAGAAGCACTTTCAAGGCAGGAGTTCAGCAAAGCCTATATATTTTTCTATGTTCACTTCTGGCTCTTACAAAGCTCTTAGAAGTTCCTTCATGTCTTCAATTAGATTTTCTGTTTACTATAAGGGAAAGTTCATCTATGGTAGTCTGGCAAGAAAATGAAAAGGAGAGCTGATTTCCTACCTCCATGGGAATAGGGTGGCAATTGGATTAACATCTCAGAGGCTCAGCAAATCCGAAATGAATCCTTTCAGTGTTTGGATGTATCTGTACAAAACTAAGAAGAAGCATGATTCAGTTGTCAGAACATACGTTTAGAGCCGTTTTAGGCAGGATAATATTGTATTTGATCTGCTAGGGAGTGCAGTGTCCAGGTGGGCTCAGACTGGTAACCAGCACGTCAGTTCAGCACTGGTGACGTTCTGAGTGATTTGGGCTGTTGCTTAGTATCGAAACTGAAATGCAGCATGCATGACTACCCTTGAAAAATACCAACCCAAAAGGTATGCAGGCATTTGGTATCGTAATTACATACCACTGTTCTCCTCACCAAATTTTCCTTATTAGTTTTACGGTCCCTAAATTAGTCTGAGTCTGTTTCACTGTGTAATAATGGTTTAAGTATGTAAGTGAAATTCAGTGAATTAAAGTGAATTAAAGCTAATTGTAAAATGTAAACGAGTATCTTTTCCTGGTGGGTATAACCACATTTTTATCCAGTATAAACCACACTCTCCCAAATTAAAAGCATGCTATTCCTCCTTGGGAAGACAGTGAAGGTCCCTGAGATGTACATGTCCATCTGGGTTCTGTAAGCAGCAGGAACACATCTCATTCATTATGTTAACATAAACCTTTTCAGTGCATCAATGCCTCGAGGCACTTTACAGGACCTTCTTCTAAACATCTAGTTCTGAATGCTCTGTGCATGTCTTTTACATTTACAACTGACAGTATTTCTCTGTATTGTTTTTCCAACAGAACAGTGCCTTTCCAAAAACATGAAGCTTCTCATTTTTCTGAGATTGTCAGTATGTTCAACTTCTCATATTTCATTAACATTTAATAGCTTTAAAAAAAAGAAAACTTACATAACAGTGTCATTTGCCAAAAATCTTTGCTTTTTGATTAGAATTTTTGTTCGTATGAATATATAATACTAATGATTAAAATGTGCGGTTTAAAAATAAGTAATAAATTAAAACTATTTTGCAAAGAATGACAAAAATGTATCTTCTTTAAACACAGAAAGCCCACAGTCCTTTTATAAATTTTCACTACATTTTTTCTCTATTCAGCAGCTGTATTGTTTTACAATTAGATTAAATTACTGATTTTTAGTATAAGCTCCAATTATTAATGTCATAGGTGCTTTTACTTCATTAGATGGAAATGATTATCATATTGCAGTTCCAAAGGTGTTCTTGTAGTTTCATGTGATATCCTGGCCTAATCTCTACTAAAAAATGTGAGAGATGGGGTATAGGATAGCATTGATATTGCAAATTACTAAATTGTGGAGTATTTGATTTGATTGCACTCCAATTAATCTGAAAAGTAATTGACACCCTTAGTCAACTGAGAAGTATTTTTGTTCTATGTACTGAAATACTTGATGGTTAATTGGCAGACTGTATCTTTGAAGCAGAACACCCTTAGCAATGAGGCCACTCACATTGTAGAGTGCTTCAATTATTTATGCTTTGCTGTAAAATTCTTTGTGTTGAAAATATTAACAGTTGATTTAATGTGGAAACCTTTTAACTCATGGATTAGATGATTTACGTTTAAGTGGCAAGAAATCTTCTGTGGAGTTCCCTAGGTAGGACGCGGTTTTGTTTTAACTCCTGCTGGCTTTTCTGGGGCAAGTCCCATCTCTGCTTCATATCTACCCTCTTGTCTCCATTGCCTATTTAAATTTGAAATGCTTTGGGGGAGAGTGTGCTGGTCATGGTGTGCATGCTGAGTACCACAAGCCCCATCATCTCTGGCTGGAATCTTCAAGGATGACACGCACCAAGTAGCTGCTGTGCCGAAGCCACCTTTAGCTCTAACACAGAGTCTTGCCTTGGTTTTCAGCACTGCAATTACCTCTGGTAATTCAAGCAAGTGAAGTCCATGACCTGCTCTTGACTTCTGCAGCCTCAGACGATCAGTGGAGCCATTCAGTATTTGCTTTGATACCTTCATGGACAAAGAAGATTTTGTTTAAACGAGAGTCTTCTGTTAACCATCAGCTGGTCAGTAAATCATAGTTTGCTACTTACAGTATTTATAAACATCATTGCAATTATGTCAAAACTGAATGCTGCTTGGAATTTACTACCTAATTAGTATGTTTCTAATTCTGTCTCAGGTGATTGTGTTCACTTTAGATGGCTTCAACAATACCAATTGGTTGTGAAACTTCCAAATAATTATTGTGACAGATACAGCTATGTGATTGCTGTGTAAACTCTGATAGACACATAATAATGAATTGTATCCATATAGTCTAATGAACTTAGGGAAGTCTGATAGCCAAAAGATGCATGTGCCAATTAAGATACTAGTAATTACAGGTGGGAATAAGTAGTTCAAACGGATTTGGACTAACAAAAAGAGTAATTGCTGGGATAACAAAGCTCTTAAATTTGAAGTTGATTAATACCTCTTAATTATTTTTCTCATTTTCTTATTTACATACTACTTGTGCTTCATTTTGTGAGTTATGATAGTTTCCTGCACTGTGTAGACTTTTCTTCTTCCTCCGCAGCCTGAAGATGCGTCCTCTGGATTTGGAATAACCCTTCAGAAATGTGCTGTGGTAAGTTTTTTGGTGTTTTATTGTTTTTGTTATTTTGTTTTTATTTTTTTCATTTCTCTTGTTAATTTGATAGGAAATTTGTACTCAAAATGTGTCCTTTAAAACTGGAAACAGAATAGTACCCATACTGTGTATTTGGGAGTATTTCCATTTTTATGTTGAAATGATTGCACCTCTGCAAGAGGAGTAATTTTGCATTGTTGATTCAAAACTGAATTAAGTCAGTGAAATCTTTTCTCAGACTATAGGGGATTTGGGTTTTTGACCAGTGTTAAATACCTCGGTATGAATCTATAAAAAGTATAAACGCGCAAATGTTAGCGAGTTCTGTGTATCAGTCACAAGGCTGGAAAATGATAGAGAGAAACTTTAGAGAATGTGATGGGCCTTTTTAGGTGTTCCTCTGTTTTCCATGTGTGCCCTACCTGTGTCAAGTGTGGACATGCTTTCATGGGGAACTGAGCCCTGTGAAGCCCACTGTGTCTGGGGACATCCTATAACAAAGCCATGGAAGAAACCATGTGTCACCATCAGCATACTTAGCTACAGTATTTAATAGATAAAAGCACAGTATTTAGCACAGTATTTAATAGATAAAAGTTTTCATTTGGCTTGCATAAAATGCATAAAAGGAGCAAAGACCTCTCTGCTATAAAGAATTTTTAAACTTTCAATTTTACGTCTTTAGGTGGCATAGATTAATAGATCTACTTATTTTTCCTTTGCCCCTCACCCCCCCCTTTTTTTTTTCTCCGTGCTAGATGAATCAAATCTGAATTTTTATCATTAGAGACAGTTCACTGTGCTTTCCCTTGGAGAGAGAAAGTGCATCCAACTTTAAGGCAAATCTGAATTCAGCCATTGAAATGTTTTATATGATGACAGAGAATTTAGTACCCAGTACAGAAGAGGTGACATTATGACCTGCACCGGATCATTTACACAGAGAATGAGTATGCATCACATCTCATGGCACTAATTATGTATAATATCATTATTGAAGTAACTGCATATCATAATTAATGAGGCCAAATAGTGAGCATTTCAAGCATAAGAAGCAGTGACAGAATCTTCTGGGTTTTGCACTGTGGATTCTCAATATTTGTATCAAAGCTTTTTAGCTTTGAGTTTGAGACAAATACATATTGTTTTTTCTGCCATTCATAGCGCAGCCTCATACAGACTCATTAAAAATTGTGAAATCCTGCTGTACAAGATGAAAGATAGTCTGTTGTAGATACCAGGATTACCAGAAATTAATTGTGCCATGCTACCTGTTGTAAATTACTGAAAACAGTACAACTGTATGTGAATTGTCTTCCATGTTGAAATTCATTTCATGTTTTATTTCCCTTTGCTTACCTTGTCATCCTCTTCAATCTTAATTCATTTGAACAGATGCTTTCCTGCTAAGAGGCAGACTGGCCATATGGTTGTCTTTAGCTGTTTTAAATAAAAAAAAAAAAAAGTGAATTTAGCACATTCCTACCCACCACCTGTAAGTGACTCCTCAGAGCATGGAGATGACATATGTTTACTTCTTGAAGGCAGTGTTTTTCCAACATTTAATCATGGAAATACCATGATCAAAACTAGGGTGTTTAAAATTTATCCATGCTTTGAGGGCCCAGTCCTTCTTTCTTTCACAAGAAAGAAGTTCCTGTAGGACTTCATTCCACAGCGTGGCATGAACGCTTCTGAGGTAGCACCTCATAATGATACTGATCTTTAGCAGAGCTGAAAGAAAATTAAACAGTGTTAAGCTGAGGCAGGGAAGTTTAGGCTGGACATCAGGAAGAGGTTCTTCACTGAGAGGGTGGTTGTACAGTGGTACAGGCTCCCCAGGGACATAGTCACTGCACCAAGCCTGTCTGAATTTAAGAAGTGATTGAACTGTGCACTTAGTCACATGGTCTAAACTTTTGGGTAGACCTGTGCGATGCCAGGAATTGGACTTGATGACCCTTATGGGTCCCTTCCAACTCGGGTTATTCTGTGATTCTGAAGTAAAACCTGTATTTGAAGGCATTTACAAATGCAAAAAACATGACCTTTTGGCTGCCTGAGGAAAATTGCAGTAGATTGGTGATAGATTTTTGATTCCTCAGAAGGGTTGCTTTGTTTAGTCACTGAGTTAAGATTTTTATTAAATGAAATGAAGAGAAAATGCAAATTTAGTTGGAGAACGATAATGGACTGTATGTGGGAGTGTGTATTAGACCTTTTAACTAAAGGAAGGAGAGGAGTAGTGCTGCCATATTCCCTCACCTACCTATGAATATACACATCCTACTTTTTCTGCCTATTCTATTGTAAGAATTTAGCTAAATTACTGTTTACATCTTCTCTCTCCAAATGAGAAGGAATATATTTTTGTCTGGTTAAAAGCATGGGAAAAGATCATGAAATCCTAATTTTTGCCTTCATCTCACAGAAGAGCAAAAGAAAGGTATGGGAAAGTAAAGGAAGGGAAAGACTTTCTGTTTTCCCACCTATTCCCAGCTCCTTCTCTTGGTAGTGCATAATTGTTTGTGTGCACAATCCTATCCACACTTACTGTGGAACATAATATTGTATTAACAACTTGTGCAGTTTGAACCTGTGGTCTTTCAGTGTGTGCTTTCTTGATTCAGTGATTGGGTCAGGGTCTCTGCTTTGTGGCTTTGGATTTTCTTTTTGTGACTTTTAAGCTTTTTTTCTGTTTCATTTTGTTGTTTTGTTGTTTTTAAAGCAAGTTTCCAGCTTTGTGACTGCATAGGAAAGGCTGAAAGGTCTGCTGACTGCATCACACCAGTTCAGAAAACCAGGAGACAGAAAATCTGCCCCAAGTATATCACACTTCTAACATCTGGTGTTTTTAGGTCCCATAAATGTTGTATCTAGCTCATGACACACGAACGTATGAAATTGGCAAAGCTTTCTTTACAAATATGATCAGGCCTACTTTTATACCTGCTGGCATTTATTTGCAGAATCTGGTATAATAGGTAGTTGTTTTTTTCCCCCCATACGATTTATTTAATACAATTGAGTTTGAACTTGCTGTAATGAGTTTGGAAAATTTAGTGTAGTATAATGAGAAGAGCTACTTACATAAACAGATTTAGTCAAATGCAATTATTGCCATTTATGTCAGAAAATGCAAACTAAGCAATTATAATTTTAATAAAGCTTTGTTTTTTTTTTTTGTTTTTTTTTTCCTCCTTGGTTCATAAAACATTCTGAAACTTTCATCTGTTTCTATGCTGAATTAAAATGAAATGCATGGGTCGAGGTGTACTATAAAGTTATAACTACATATGTTGAATCTGTGGCTGCAATAAATTGTATGATTTCTGACATCTCCCACAGTTAATGTTTTTAGTACTCATTTTAGGGGAGGCCACTTTATTGCTATTTTTCCTAGTGTCCAGATAGAGAAGAGACATTTCCTTTAAAAAAAAAAAAAAAAAAAAAAAGAGGGGAAAAAGAGAAAGATTGTCCCTGAATCACACTTTGGTTATTTCACAAAGTGTTAATTTGGTGCCATTATTAGAAGACCACTGTGCCATCATGGCTATGTTATGGACCATCATATTACAGGCCTGATGGAGTTTTAGACAGTTTGGGCTTAATACAATTTTATAATGGAAGGCACTTTGAAAGGTGAGAGGTCAGTAAGTGACTCTGTGCTCAAGGCAATTTCATTTAGAGGGTGTAATTATTCAGTGAGAGTTAATGAATGCCTAATGGAATAAATAGATAAAGTCATGTGACTGCGTGTTGCTAGTGATTGCTTATTAATTTATGAACTTCATCTCTAACTGGAAGCAGAGCCTTGAACTCCAAGTCTGCTAGTAGCTCCAGCAGCCCTTATGTGGGAAGGGCAAATGGAAGCAGCTGGCACCCTTTGGAGCGTGCAGTTGCTGTGGAAAAAGAGAGAACTAGAGAACAAAAATGCATGAAGAGAATGAACTGGCAATGAGGACAGCTTGCAAAAGAAACATCTTCATGATACAAAAGCTAAGAATTTTCCAGAATCTGGTTATGAAGTTATGTTCCAGTTCTGTGTGTCACAGGAGTATTTGTATTCTTGTTTTCACTTACTTCTGGCTTTCACTTTACTTCTGGCATAAAACTTTTGTTTTATGTCTCTGAGAAACATTCAGGCATACCAAAAATTAAAATCTCCTTGGGAGTCTGAGATAAAACTGAGTGTAATGCTGTTTGCAGGTTTCTCAGAATGTCTTTAGAAAATTGGCTTACACAAATAGTGAACTATTTACTAACAATCAAGACTACAGATTTTGCTGTTGATGCACATACAACTGTTTTGCACTGTTAATATTTCTATTTTCAGGTGGATGTTGAACATGATCCTCAAACTGCCTATGTTAGACTTCTGATTAATAACACCAACACGCTGCTCTCAAGAAACATTACCGATCTTATCCTCCTGGACAATATCACCGGTCTACATGTTCAAAAAAACAGTGGTAATAAGACAACAGATGGTGTACAGATTTACAGGAAAAGATTCTTGCAAGGTAACAAATTCTGCAGAGAAGTAGCTCTGATTATACATGTGGAAGAGCATCTGTTCAAATCAGGATATTTATTTTTGAAGATGTAAACTCAGTAATTATTAGTTGATATGGGTGAAATACCCCGTAACAAGTTTTGTGCTGCAGTTTAAAATTCTATTAATTCCCATTTTGGCTCCCACCTTTGAACTGCCTCTTCCAGGCATGGAAGTGAGCCCTTGTGCTCTGTAAAAGTCACTGCTGTCAAAATGAAACAGAATCTTTCATGATGGTATTTGTTCATTTTGGATATTTTATAAAACTGCTGCACAACCAATTGTAATTGAAACGTCGTTCTTATTTAGCCAAGCTAAAAAGGTAGAAAGTAAGCAAACACTTTACTGTGTAGTGTCTTTAAAATCACGGCGGATTAACTTCCTCAGGTACACCGGAATTGCAAAAGACCATGCAAACAGGCAGAATGATTAAACCAAAAGAAGGCAGCTCTGCTCTGTATCCATTTTCTACAGACTTGAGCAAATTATAAAATTGAAGCAAGTAGTAAACCAAAAAGACCGTTCCAGTCTTGGAGTTGGTGTGTTTCTTAGATAGCAGTTGGACATTCATAAACATTTGTCTTTCTTGATTTCTTAATCTCCCCTTTCCTAAGCACATGTGCAAGAGGTAGAAGATGTCCATAGAAAAATAATAAATTGCTTTTTAGGATTATGATTATTCGTGTGGGGGATGTGCTGTGTTGGAAGAGCTCCAGAGCTGTCCCAGGTCTTCCTCAGAGAACTTTGAGAAATTTTCCTGGGATAAAGTAAATTTATCCATATTCTTCTTCTCTGTACAGGCTCTGGCTGCCTTCCCTACTGAGGAGCTTACTGCAGCTAGACTCCTAAGAGAGCACTTTTGCTGGTGAGGAAGCACAGTCTAAAGGGGAGCCTAAAAAGCTCCTCAGATGTTTTATTCATATTGGACTTGCTTTTCATATTTTGCAAACATCTGTAACTGCAGATGAGCTCAGCTGGGTGCTCAACTCTTCAGTCTTCTTGTGTTAAAAAAAAAAGTGCAACTCTGCTGGGTTATTTTCGAGACAGTGTATCTACTGTTTTATTTAAGAAAATGCAGACACAATTCCTTAAGAGGCCAATATTGTATGGGTAAATGTACCTCATCTACACACTTTTTTCCTCTCTTTTAACAGTTGGAGAATACTTTGCAATCAACTACACTGCACTTCTTGATGCAAAGGAAACATGGAATGGCAGGGTCTTGACATTGCCTGCAAAGTTAACTTTCAGGAGTTCATCACAGGTATTTCCTGTACAAGTCTTGAAAGCAGTTCTTGTTCAGAGGGCTGAAGCACCTTTCCTGTGAAGAAATTCTGAGACAGCTGAGGATGTTCATCCTGGAGAAGAGGCTCCAGGGAGACCTCGCTGTGGCCTTTCAGTTCCTAAATGGGTCTTATAAACAGTGTGGTGAGGGACTCTACTCAGGTAGATAATGATAGGACAAGGGAGAATGGTCTTAAACTGAAAAAGGATACGTTAGATTAGACATTAGGAAGAAATTCTTCACTGTAAGGGTAGTGAGGCACTGGAACAGGTTGCCCAGAGAAACTGTGGATGCTCCATCCCTAGAGCTGGATGGCCAACCTGATCTAGTGGGTGGAAGCCCTGCCTATGGCAGCGGGGTTGGAGTTAGATGGTCTTTAAGGTCTCTTCCAACCTAAGCTATTCTGTGATTCTATGGTTGTCTGCCTAAGCTACGAGACCTGTGATGAGGCCTGCATGTACTGCAATGAAGTCCTTAGACTCCGTGGTTACCATGAATTTTTTTAATACATGAATTATTTTTCAAAGGTTAGGAAGCATTAGGCCTCCTTAAATAGGTAAAGGATGTTTGTGTGTTGTCCTGTAGCATTTCTTTCTACTTTTTGTATTTCTTTCCAGTTTATCTGTGTATCCTTAAAATAACAGTATCCCACCTCCTTATGTGTGTTTTCCTATAGTCTGTGAGAGGTTGCAGTTTTGACATGTTTTTATTAAAAAAAAAATATTATTGTAATCAAAACCACTGTTTAAATATGAGAGTTTTGAGGACCTTGAAGAGATTTTTGAGAGAAGCTGGGTAATCTCAATCTTTGGTGATTTTTTTGGTGACTCAGTTGCACCAGGCTCCAAGAGAACTGATCATGGATTTAACAATGCTGGAGTCAACCTAAGTAGAAAGCAGGACTAATGACACAAGAAGAGTGGTTTCTTCCAAAGTGACTTATTCCTCATTCATAAATTTGTTTTGATATTTTCCTCATCATTTTCTTAAGTGCATGTAGTTAGACCTTGCATATATATTTTCATTTCCAGCTGATGTATCTCACTTGTTTTAGAGGAAAAAATGATCAATGTTCATGAGGGTATACTACAGAGACAGAGAGCAAGACTTCAAAACCAAGAAATGATAAGAGGAGAGGATACAGGTGGATGTTTAGCAGACTTGATAGACATTGAGCTGCAAACTTTGATCCCTGCAAGACATATGCAATGATTTTGACTCATGTTCTGTACACTTTCAGTCAACACAGAGTTTAAAATGCAGAAAAAGTGTAAATCTGTGAGCACTGAATAAGCCCGTGCTTGGTTAGAAGGGGAGTATATCCTACAGAGCACTTTTACCACTACGTTTAGCTATCAGATTTTATTCAGCTTTACTTAGTGAGAAGTATAGCTTTTCTTCTGAGGAGAAGCTTTTGTAGAGACTCTGGGCTGTTTGCCAGTGTTATAAATTGGATTCTGCTCATTTTTTAATGCTTGTAATATTTTTATATTTCTCTCAGAATAAAACACATCTCGTATCGTTGATGGCATCATTCACCATAACTGAAGAAGAAAAGACCAAGGTAAATGCTATGACTTGGCATTACACTGTCTCAAACTCACTGACTTAAACTCATGGATAATCTAACCTAAATCGTAGGGGGCTAAGAATGTAGTTAGGTACTTAAATTTCATCTGGCTATTAATCATAGACAAGTTCTGCCATCTCCAATTATAAGGGGAAGAAAGCAGGAGTCAAGACAGTGGGATTTTGTTATCCTAAAGCAGCAATATTTAGCAAAGAAAATCTTCAGAGTTCCATTATATGTGTAGCCTTTTTTTTTTTTTTCGTCTGAAGCATTGTCCAGCCACAGAGAATTGTGATGAGGAATTTGCTCATGTGCTCTTTCTTGGGCATAGCTACCACAAGAAAGCTATTTGCCTTTCAAAAAGTGTGGAGTTATCCTCCACTTATAGAGAAAATGTTTCGTACTGAGACAAGTGAGACGTATTGTATTTGTCCATAGTGTCAGGTGTTATAAATGATCTCCATCTTAAATTTTATTTATTAAAAATTATTTGAAAGTGTTCATGATTGTGGTGAACGGTGAACAACCAATATGCTCGTGACTAAGTGGATTCTAAATGTTGACTAGGGGCTAGAAAAATGAAGAATTACTTACACAGCCATGGCAGTACCATGCTAAGCTGGTCTTGTGAATTTACATGTGGTTTAATTGCACACTTGTTGTTGTGCTGTTCTTTAAAATTTTTCATACCCTGTGGATTTTCTCTTCTGTGTTGCTGAAAGAAAGTGCTTGGTTGCCTATGACAAGATAAATGAAAAAATATGTGTTATGAAAAATGTGGGTTACAAAAAAATACAAGCATAGCTTATCTGTTGGCCCGTGCCAGATGTCTTCCCACAGTGCTTCAGGGGCTGTGAATACTGCATGCCTCTGCCCTTGGCTAAGTGGTTTCAATGCTGAGTAGGAAGCTGTAGTGAAAGCAAAACACATTTCTCCTGTCTAGCCATATTGCATGGGATTTGTGATAATAATTACGTTGACCTCATTTTTGCCAGAATTGTTTCCCTCAGCATCCTTTAAATCAGTGGGAGCACAGCAACTTTTGAAAGAAAATCAGGCCTTTAATGCCTCTTCACCTCACACTATTAAGATGGCTTAAGAAGTTAGCTTTGCATATGGGTTTTGAGGCTCATTGATGTGCCACTGGTTTGCAGGTCAGCCTGCAGTGCCAAACTGGTCCTATGCCATGGTTTGTATGGGGTCTCTGATTCCCCACACCGCAGCATCCACTGTGATGCTTTCAGGCATTATAGCCCATTAGGCTGTATCCAAGGAAATGGGGTGTCCCTCCAAAACTCATTTTACTGTCTTATAAAAGCACAGATAATTCCCGATCCAAGAACTTTTTTCCATAAGCAGGCAGTAAAAGGATAAAATTCTGCTGTTAAATTAGAATAAATACTTTCTACATTGCAGACTACATTTGATTGTTGCTTCCTGTGCTGAATTCTGTTTGTTCTATGGAATGCTCCCAGCTTTCTGCTTTATGAGATGACCAAGCCCTGCTTGCAAGCAGCATGTTAATTATTTACACTTTCTAGCCCCAGCAGAGTGATTATTTTGTGGTGAAACATTATACTAGTAGCTGTGCTATATTTTTCATGCAGACATCTCAAAGAACTAAACAAACATTAAATTAACTTTTGCTACATGGAGCATGAAGTAAAAATTAATTTTTAATGCCATTCCATTTAAAGATTAAATTAAGACCTAAAGTGAAAGGCCTACAAAGATATTAGTTGAAGTGTAGTTCCAGTGCTCCTGCTATTCTTTTCTGACTCTGTCTCATGGAGAAACTGCAATGATACACACAAATTAGGGAGTTTTATCGTCAGTTATCTGTTTATTCTGAACTCCTATTAGTGCTTTATCCCAGTGTTGTTTACTGAGTTTTATTGAATCAAGAAATGGCCATTAATTTCAGGAAGCCAACATCAGACTGATTTTTCAGAGGCTCTGGGCAATGTCAAATGCCATTAATTTCAACGAGATTTTGGAGAGATTGGCAACATAGGCTCTTAAGTACAGTCTTCCCAAAAGTCACAGCAACTACAGTTCAATCCATGAGAGATCTGTTGTTGGAATTTACCGAGGCATTTGGACTAGGTGGGCATAAGGGCATGCAGACTTCAAAATCTATAGAAAATAGACACTATTAATAAATAAAAATTACTAATTGTAATTTAATGCTGAGTAACCTTGAAGTTTTATAAAGCCATTTAAAAGTAATTCACTGTGTTGGTTACAGCTGTGATCTTTAAGTCTGATCTTTGTATATATAGGAAAATTAATTTAAATAATTTTCATTTCAGATTTCATACAGCCATGCCATCCATGCTTCAGGATTCTTCATTGCTTTTTTCATTTCCTTTGTATTGACATGTGCTGTTTTTTTCATTCTTTACCAAACCAAAGTATTAAAATGGAATTTCCATAGTAAAAACCAGGTGAGTCGTACTATCTGTAACAGTACTTTATATAATTTTGTTATTGATCATCTCTGATGATATAACATGCAAACTAATATGGATTTCCTAAAGTGTTTTTGAAGCTAAATAAAAGGCAACAAGTGCTGGATTGAATTCACTGGTACTATAATCTCTACAACCCCAAATCTTTAGCACAATCAGATTTAGAAGTGATGTAAGAATAGTCTGATCAAAAGAACTGCTGTCAATAACTGGTTGTTAAGCTTCACAGGGGAGCGATACTACCCATTGGCTTTGCATTTGTTTTCATCTTTTTCCTTGTCCTTATCTCTCCTTTTGCTCCCGGTATGAGAGGCAGAATAACTCTGGGTAGACCACTCACCTTGAATGCAGAATACATGAGTCCAAATTGTATTTCTGATTATCAGGAACAGGGGTTTGAAGCTGGGTCTCGTAGATCTTTGGATTTACCTTGGTCTCTTGAGTGATTAAGCAAAGCAGTTGGGTTTGGGGATGGAGCATTTACAGTGCTCTTTATCCAGATCATTCCAGTTCTTAGAAAGTATTTCAGTACATACAGGGTCAGAGAGAGAAAATACAGTCTGATGAATATCCATCAGATTGGCCCAAGCTCCAGTCCTTGCTTTTTAAAATTATTTTGCTATTTATATGAAGTGGAACAACTTCAGTGGGAGGGAGATAGAGACCTCGGTTGCTATTACAGTGATGAGAACAATCTCCTAAGAAAGGGGGTGTTAAAGGTTTGAAACCTTCCTCTGCTCAGGTGGTGGTAGATCTCCTACTGGGTTGCCAGGTCAAGCAGTCAGTGTCACTCTGTCTATTGCAATTTCTCTTGGGTGTGGTCTGAGAATGTTGGTTTAGGATGGAAGTGGTGATACAGGTGAGAGACATATCATTTGAGATTCCCTCTGGGGCTGTTGGATAGTATAAACTGTGCTGGCTGGTGCTGTCAAACTGAGACAATTAAGACTGACAGAAATTTAAGTGGTAGCTGTGTTCTCACTCTACTTTTGGATTTCAGTTTGGTTTCTTTTTCTTCAGTGGTCTGATTTTTTCAAACGCCCAGAAAGCTTTAATTTGTAATCTATAATGAAAGTGTCTGTTTAAAGGTTTCAGAAAAATTCCACAGTAATTTTAAAGATTTGGTTGAAGCATTTCTGTAGGCACATTTATGTGGCTGCCTGGAGAGCACTTTGGGGTTTTATTCTTCCTATGCCAACCGACTTCGAAACAAAGAAACCCATTAGATGTGTTTCTCAGGGACACTGCTGTGCTGTGGCATGTGTGGAGGCAGTCCAGGGAGGGCAATGCACTTGTAGTGCTCTGCTCTTCTGCATAGCAGTTGGAGTGCTCTTGCATAGAGGACAAATGTATTGAGAAGCACGTACTCAGAAGTAGCACTCTGCTTGGAGACCTCAGCTTCCACATATTGCTCTGCTTGAGGCAGGCAATCTGGGAAGAGTTGTAGAGGGGCATAGCACATTTCAGAGGCTTGGGTGGTCTTGCTGGAAATAATTTGTTTCAGGACTAGATGTGTACAGTTTGCTTTATGCAACTATGAGTATTGGTTTCCTATCTCTAGGTAAAAATGCTGTGTCAGATGTAACTTCACAATGTTTGATAGATTTGAAGACAGTGAATGTGCTAAGTTATCTGTATATGCTCTACTGAAGCAGCAAAAAGTGAGGGAAAAAGGTGTATTTTCTTTGTGATTTAAATTCTGTGAACAACTTATTTTATCTTTTCTACAGTTTCTGACAAATGACAAAAGGAGGTTTTATTGTGTTTTTGTTGTTGTTTTTAATAGATTTGCAGTAATTTTTCTATCTAATGATAGGTGAATTTGTCTCATTATGCAGAAGAGATCTAGTCACAAGCCAGTGGATGGACCAGATGGGCTCAGAAGGCACTTCCAGCCTGACTCTCTGGTTGAGAATTACTACATTAACAATTTTTATTTCTTTTAGGCCTGAAGAAATAATCCCTTCCCATTTAAAAGGCTGCTTTTTATAACATTGTTATTTAAAAAAAAAAAAAAACACACCAATTCAGTCCTAGCACGAGCTACTTACAGCAATTTTTTGTATAGTGATTTTCTTAGCCCATCTCAAGGAAGTCTCACCGACCTGTGAACTGTCTAGTAGTATAATTTTGCCATATGTAATGTGTATACCATAGAAATTTCTTTAAAATTTTACTAGAAAGTTTATAGTAGAAAATAACCTCCTCGGAAGGCTTTTGCAAGCCTACTAATGTCAATGTAAAGTCTGCTATCTTTTGCATTAATTTCTTCATTTGTACTCCTGATCAGTTATATAGAAAAAAGTAAAAAAAAGTTCAGCCTGAGACAAAAGTATTACACTTGATCCTAAATATGTACATGTATTTGAACTACACAATTGCTCTATTCCATTTCCAGCTGTACAATGTGATGATAAGTGGGAGTCTTTCTGGTAACTCATGATTACCTGCAACAAAATGACATCAGCTTCACTGTATTTTTTTTTTTTTTTATAATCTGAAGCTTAATTTTTTCTTCCTTTTTTTTTAGGAGATACAACATGAACTCAGTCAAAATCACAAACTGGAGCATTCTCAGTTCAGTTCAGGTGATCTCTTTAGTGAAGATGTAATTATGAATGACCAAGTCATTGATATACTGACATTTGAAGAATCAAAGAATATGCTTCAGGCTTTAGAAGAGTAAGAATTCCTGCTGTTACATCACATTAATCACATTTACCATCATCTAAATCTTTCAATATGTTTTGACTATCTACCCTTTAATTGTTATTTTTGTAGTGTCTATTTGCACGTACGACTGTTACCTTAGGTTTTTGAAATGTATTGATAGCCATCTGTGGGAACTGAAAATTGTCATAATTTACATTGCTTCACTTATAGAAGTCACAGCTCTAGATAGGCCTGAGGCATGCAAATTTTCCAATTCAAATGAACATCTGTTTTTGCTTCCCTGTGGTTCATTAAGTGAGGAAAAACTTCTGTGTAAAAGAAGATGTTGAAAGGGTATATTCTACTATTGCTGAACACAGTTCTGCTTTCAGAACTGTGGCTTTTATCCTAGCACACCACTTCTGGGTGCTGGCATTTCTGTGTAGCAGTGTATTTTGGAAACACCTGGATCAGAGTCTAAGGAGTGACAGTTTGTAGGGCTAACAGAAAGATACCATATAGACTGGATCAGCAGGACCACTGGGTAGAGCGGAGAAACTCTCCTGGTTTTGTAGAAAGGCCAGTCAGGGTTGTTAGACAGAAACATGCAGCTAATAAAGGGCATCTGTTCTTCAGCAGAACTGGAAAAAAAGGTGTGATGTGAGGACAGAGATTTTGTTTGTTCAGTCTTATAGTTAGCTCCTGGCAAGTCAGGTTACAGGCAATATTATGCAACTATAAAATCTGCAGAAGCCAAAAAGGAAAAGTTAAGGGATCATGGAAGTAATTTTCTTTTGTTAAAAGGTAACTAACAGCATTATTATTTCCTGCATTTCATTAGGATGCTTATCTCTGTGAATTGCACATTGGTCTTTGCTTTTATAACTGTACAGCAGTGCAGGTTTTTAAGACTTATCCTAGAAATTGTTATGTGAATGTTAAAAAGAAGAGGATCAAACATTTTTTTTAAACCTCATTTCAGTATTATTTTATATTAGAGATAGTGAATATCTTGCAAGTTTTAACAAAAATACTGGACTGTTTTGAGATATATTGTAGTTTAGAAAGGTAAATGTTCTTGCAAACCCTTGAGAAGGATTATTTGAATAACTGGATTATTCATATAGCTAAACCCTTAAAATGGGATTCATTTCTTAGTTTGAGTATATGTCCTGGGGCTGTGGTTTTTTAATATTCTTATGCAGTTAATGCAAACGCTTCTCTTGTTTCTGCTCCTTTCCCCACAGTTTCTGCTTTCTCCCTTCCATATCCTTTTGTTCATCTTTTTATTTTTTTAATCAAAGCACTTCATTTATGTGCTTCCCATTCCAACACTTTCCTTTAGATAACAGTTTGGAATTTTGTAACTGATTTAACTGATTTTCCATTGTAATAAAGGAAGTCATTTTAGAATGCAAGTGGAATTAATGTACAGCCAATGCTTGTTATGTGATTGGAGTACTTGCAGGAAGTCCTTGCAACTGTATAGAGTCAGGTCTGACCCCAAAACAGGCACTTGTTTGAAGCATTCCTCATTGAAGGCAGCAAAGGTATCCAGTAGGATATAAGTTACAAAGTCGCTTATGCAAAATTGAAAATACTGCCTCAAAAATGGCCTCAAAACTGCTTGAGTTGGCAGTTCTCCTGAAAGCAGAAATGCAGAGATTGTCTTGTCTCTTTGAATGTTCAAGAAAATAAAACGATTTTCTCAGCTATAGTATAAAATATTAGATAAAAAAGCTGGTGTGGTCTGAAATAGCTGGAATGGAAAGGAATGCTTTCATCTCATTACAGCATCCATCCTACGTGAATAACTGTAGATATGCTCACTAGACCCATTTTGGGGATTTATCTGTCTTATGGCACCTGGATTCATCTGTGTCTCCTTTGGGAAAATACAGCTTATCAACAACTGAAAAGTCATCAGTAAAGATTAGAGCATACTGTGATTTTATCATGCAGTGGGCTGTGACTGTAAAACACTACAGTGGCCATCAGCTTATTTTAAGCATTGTGTACGGTCTCCACTGAAACCACTATTCCACATTATTGGATTGAAGAGCACCTGTATTTCTGTTGAATATTTTCGTCCAATTTAAAATCAATGTAAATAGTTAAAAGGCTAGGAACTTGCTCAGGATTTCACTGATCATAGGAAGCAGAAAGAGCTTGTAGGATTTTTCAGTGTGGTTTTATATTCTGCATGTGGGAGACAAGATCTTTTTGTAGAAGAATTCTCCTCTGGTAGACATTCTGGTGGACTGTTGATTTAGAGCAGATGTCCAACTTTTTGCTCAAAATCTTTGCATTTGAGTTATCAGTCTCTTTGTGTAACTAACTATCTCTGATCATTTCAAAATTTGGTGGTTAGGCAAGTAAGAATGTCTGAAAGTGTCTTATTTAGAGAAATGAAATCACCCCCTTAAGCCTCTTCTCCATCAGGAATGAGAGACAGAAAAATCAGCATCAGTGTTGACAGCGGGTGAAACAAATTTACTCCATTTTGGGCAAGTTGCTTTTTTCAAGAGAAAACTTTGATAGTGTTCAATTTGTTCATGCTTTTGTAAGGAGGCAAAGCATCACAGCAAATAAATGCTTGTTAGCAGTTGCTAATCTTCTTCAGCTTTTGAGTTATCTTTTGATTTTTCTGGGATGAGAATGATAGATGGACCACAAAAACATCCAGAATTGCTCTCCTTTAAGAGAGGATTGAAAGGGTTATAGATGTTTCTGTGAAGGGCTCAGATCAGCCTCTGTTAGGGATTAGGAAGTAGCCATTGATATTTACATTATTCTAAATCTTCTTTCACGTGTCTTTTTTCTGTATTTTTTTCATGTATTTTGTTTCTGGTTCATTTACTACTAGTAGATGACACACAGATGAACTGACCATTCATTGGCACTCATGGGTATTAAATTACTGCATGCCTGTTCCTCTCTTCTCTTACTGCTGGCACAGTTTATGTGGCCGAATGAGGATCTCTGTGATGGAAAGTTCTACACTAACTTATCCTGAGTTCCCATTTTTACTCAGTGGTGAAAAAGAGCACTTCTAGAGTATAACTCCTCTTAACCTAAAGTAGACATCTAGAAATTAGTCATATGAATGCTGTGCCCACTGATTCTAAAACCTGGAGCCTGGGCTGATTAACCCAGATATAGGAGTCTGGAGGTAAGTGAGACAAATCCATGTCTTGCAGGGTGGTGGGTCTAAAAGGCTACAGCATTAACTTAATGCCTATATTAGGTATTTGTAATATTGTTCCTGCATTTTTCAACAGCTAGAATATAAACCTTGTTTTATATCTCACTGTAAGCACTCTTTTATGATACTAAGCCCAGGATGCTTCCCTGTCTCTTAATTTTTGTTCCATATTCTTTACATAAGCTGGGGAAGACAGTCCTTTAGTTTCAGATCTATATTCCTTAAAGGTTTTCATCTTAGTCTTTTAATATATAAACTGTTGTACATTATCCAGGCTTTTAGCAGATTCAAAAGACAAAGATAAAATACTGTACCATTGCCTTAGGGGCTTCTCTGACAACAATCTGTGCTAAAAACAGAATAGAATAATCCTTATTTTTACTGAATTATCTGTTTTAAGGATAGTGCTTTGCAAAACATAATGGCAAAAGAAAGAATGTGCATTTCTAACTTATTAATGGATAATTGCAGTCAATTAGAATGGACTCTGTGCTGGAATGAAATGTTACAGTTTTACTGATTCTGTGGTCACAGAATCACTTTTTCAACAACATTGCATTATTTATTTATTTATTTATTTGCATTCATGGTTACCCAGCACAATGGTTGGGAGTTCTGTAAGGAACAAAGGGATGAGGATTGATTTGTCGTGCAGGGGTGGCAATATAATAAGAACTGAGCTTGTATTTTGAACACGGTGTTTTCATGTCACGTGTACACTGAATATGAATTTCAGCATCATAATCCTGCATTATTTTTTTTTTTTATTTAGGGAGGCAAAAGTGTATGGGCTTTTGTTAGAGATGGGTTGATACTTCAGGTATTTGAACCAACAAAATCTTGCTTATATTTTCATTCAGCAAGTATATTCTAGTTTGATAATTCCTTCAGTGTAGCTGTGTGTCATTTTCTCTGCATGGTGAACATACAAACTTGCCAACGTAACTGATACATTCTTTTTGAATTACACTGTGATAGTAAACCAGTGTAATCATTCTGACGTTTTGTTCCATTGTCAAGACACAAATGAAAAAAATACTCAGAAAAGTAAGAGCCACAGAATTTTTTTGTCCTCTTTATGGCATGAAGCTAGGTTAATAGTTAATGTATTTTAAGAAGTGACAGCACCAAATTGTTTAGCAAATACATTAGGAGCATGTGTTCAATATTTATGGACAGGGACATCTTTGGAGTGTAGACAGTATGCAATGTCAGGAGAATTGGCTAGAGAACAAAACATACTTTTAATATTTCATAAGAAAGCTTCTTAGTTACTTCTTTTGTGAGTTTAGTCTTAGTAAGTCATATCCTTGATGCACATTATGCAGCAAAATAGTTTGGCTTCTATTCTCAGTAGGTTCCTTACTGTGTATATTCCTTAATATTGGCCCATTGGCAATGTATGCTAATGAGAAGAAGCTATATGATTTGAATATTTAACATAAGCACTAGATGCAAATGTTGCAAGCACTAGAAGTACATGTTGCAAAATGTTGTAGGTCTCTTTTACTGTGTATCTGGAACAGAATGTGAACATAGCTGAGCAGTTTGGCTTTGTGTCTGATGTGATGAAGTCTGACCATGCTCATAGTATTAGAAGGTACAGCTATTTTAAAGTCAACTTTATTTCTTTAAATGACTTTCCACTGCTACAGCTTTTCTTTTTCATCTTCATTTTGTACAACTCAGCTTACTTGAATTTTGCAAAGCTCTAGCTGAATTTCTGGCTGAACTTGAACCTCATTGCTGATACACAATAAACTCTGCCAATTATTTTGGCAGATCACTAAGTAATATGGATTCACTGAAGCTTATTTTTTTCTGA